TTTTTTTTTGATGCCTATGCCCCCTGAACACCATAAAGCCCCAAAACCCCAGGCCTTGAATCCTAAAGTCCTAAATGTCAGTTCCTAAACCTTGGATTGCTTCGAGCCCCCCGACACCGGGCATCTGCGGCAGGGGGATTGGCATCTGCGGAAGCGGATCCTCGCCTCCTTTCGTCAAAAAGTTCTGCCATTGGTACGATTGCTCCTCTTGTTGCGGTGACTGCACGCGTTTCTGCCATCATTGCTACTCGAACTCATTTCTACTCGAACTCGTGCGGTTTTGCCATGTTTCCGTATATTTCTGGGTGTTGGTGTGCTGGAAGTTTGGCTCCAAGGCTTCGGGACTCAGGCTTCGGCTTTGGCGGCACAGCCATTGATAGAGAAGGTTTCTCCTTGGGTTTCTTAGATAGCTGCCTGTACTGACATCCTGATGTGCTTCATAAGTGCTTAATAGCTTTCACAGGTCATTGCTAATCATGTCAACACTTCCAGAGGCAACAACAACTCTCAAGCACTCCACGAAGCCCTAAGCCCGTCACTATAACAAACGTCGCACTCTACAGCTCCCTGTTTCTTCGTCGTTTGGATAGAAGCTCTGCTGCACCGTTCGCCGTGCAGGTTCGTAACCTCAAGCTGGCGCCGTGCACATATCAGCGCGGGCCCGCTGAGGTTCGACCGCCGCCGAAATCCCCCTTTGCCAACCGTTACTGCACACGCACGTGTGTTTCACAACAAGCCACTGTAGCCCTGAAAGGCCCTCAGGCGGTGCTTGCCTGGAGGCGAAGGGGACGCCTCCAGAGGAGCTTCGGCCGTGCGCGGCGTCTGGCAATCAGGTTTGGGTGTTGGGCATAGTTGAAGTCGGTATGACGGTAATGATAGTATTAACATTCAGCCTACAAACCCATAAGCGTGTAGATGTATATATGGATGTGCATGTGTATATCTGTATGTATATATANNATATATATATATATACGCATATATGCATACAGACCTTTCTCGGCCGGACAATGGTGATGACAGCATACGGTAGTAGTACGTAGCAACAGTATTGCTACGCCAGTGGTAAGGATGGTGACAACACGCGAAACTTTTCCAGTGGCTGTTTTCAGTATCGGTCAGACCGGCAGCTGCCACTCTTGCGAATGGCTGAATGACCTGAAAACCCCCAAGGCTAAGGTTTCCCCACGACGAAGGGAACTGAGTAGCTAGAGTGTGTAATGACTGCTTTGCCACCAGAGTAGTCTGTTTCAACCGCATGTCGCCTCGCTGCCCGAGTCACTGTCAAAGCCTGAGTGGAGGTACAAATTGTGTTGACATGGGAAGTCTGGCTTTGATCGGAGGCTTTCGGCGGCCACTGAGGTGAGACTAAAGCCGCCGGAATTGGGTAGAAGATACCCATTCGATCGTCGACATCATTGAATAATCATCGGCATGTCCAAAGGCTAAGAACTTCGTACTGAGAACTAATGTCACCGAAAACGATGATACATTATGAGCGACATACATCCCACCCAAGAGCATCCATATGAACATTCCATGTCCATGGCCACGGCTCCCCCGAAGAGGTCAGCACTCCTTGAGCGCAAGTCCCAAGCCATGATCTGCATGTTGTCACTCTTCTTCACAAGGGTACAAAAAAGGTTTGATATGGGGGTTTCCAAAAATAGG